TTCCGGTTTGGATTACACCGACATCTCTTTTCTTAGTTTGGCCATCTCTTTATCCTTTCAATTTCAGTTCTTAAGTTCATCAATCAATTCTTTCATTTATGTGATAGGCCTGCATTTAAAATGAACATTTACCATAAATTAAAGGTATCTTATATTATTAGATATGTTATTATAAAACATGTTTTAGTTAAGGAGTTATTGATACTTCAAGTGCAAAATGATGATATAAAACCTTGATAAAAATACACTTTTAAGTATTAATCAATGGTTGTCAATAATAAGGAAAGAAGATGACTTTTTGTCTATTTTTTATTTTCTCTTTCTTCAAATGTCATTATGGAGAGAGGATCAAGATAGGTTGTCGAGCTTGGATGGTAGTTGGATCAATGGTGGTTGTTAGTGGCGAGACTAGTGATTGTTTTGGTACGGGTTAAATGGAGGATATTGATGGGTGGAGACTAAATATTGAGGAGAGAAGATGTTATGTTTATGGTTATTGAGGAATCAAAAGATAAGGTTGGGTTTGCTTTAGACTAGGCTGATCGAGAGCTCACTTTCTTATTAATAAATATAGAGTTCTGGACCTCCAAAACAAATGAGATGTAATCCTTATGGTAAATATACAATCTCTTTAAAAGAATCAATTATGTTTATCCTATATTTACATCCAGTTTGTTAAATGATCTCTCTAAAATACCTTATTCGATCAACCTTGATTGAAGAAAAAAACCATCATTATTGTTTAAAATTTGTGGCTACCTTCTCTTGACAGGTTTGAGCTTATAAAAAGACAAAAAAAAAATTAGAATGCACCTTTCTAGAAAGGTTGAAGGAGAAAATGAACAACATTGTTTTCTAACAAAATCTCGTCAAAACCACCATGGTTTTGCCATTTCAGGTTTTGTTTAGCTTATAAAAAATTGTTCTTGAGCACACCAAAAGATCGTGGGAAAGAATATTGATAAAATTATAGGGAAAATGGAAAGAAAATATATAAAATCAATAAAATACTTAGAATAGAATAGAAAGGAAATAAAGGTAACAAATATTGTGTTTGCATGATTTATTGTTAAGTTAATCTTGTTTGAAGATATGACAATATATTTTAGATTTTGATATTGTTGTGGTTTAAATTGTTTTAAGTTAGTCTGTTAAGTTTGATAAAGTTATAGATATGTTGTTTAAGCTTAAAGCCAGTATTTATAACTAATAAAATAATGTTTATGCATAAAGAGGCTTTCTCCATATAATGTTATTACAGTATTTACTTATAATTTTTGTCTTTAATCTTTGTTTTTTTATTGTTTTGATGATTCCAATAATTCGTGGTAAGCCTCCTTAAATTTAGATTGCTAGGTTTAGATTATTTTTATGAGTTTTATTGTATTTTTTTAGGTTTAGATTTTTTTTAGGATTTTAGGATTTGTTGATTTTTCTGAGTTGATATTCATTTATTGAACTTTGTCTTGACTTTTTGTTTTTTAAATTATTTCGGTTGATTGATGGTTTTTATGTAATCATGCATGTTTGTTTATTTTTAATTTAAGTTTTTTATGGTTTAAAAACACATATTTAAGGGTTTTTTTAATATTCATTTATTTTTCTTTATTTTTTTTTGCATAAAATCAAATAATTATAATATTATTTACTTGATTATTATGATGATTCAATATCATATTTTTGTTTGAATAGTGTGTTGATTGTTCTGTGCTTTTATCATTTCATTTTAATTTAATCTAGTCTATTTTTTTAATCTTTATTTCTAGATTTGTTCAGAAGTTCTTGGTGTTCTTGAGCTAATTCAAATATTCTTCCCTCTTTGATCTTCAACTGAAGTTGCACGACACAGCAGTAGCATGAGAGGATATACAACTCCCAAATGCTGCGAGATATAACTGACAGTGGGCATAGATAATTCAAAGGCACAGAACGGTTCTCAATCATCACTTGCACGAAAGCTTATCATTGATTTATTGAATCAGATACATCATAATAGATCACCGAGTCATTGAGATAGTGAAACATTTTCTTAGCTCGAATGACACGAGGACCATTCATCCCAAGAAAGTAAATAATAAAGAGAAAAGCAACAAATTAAAATCAAATGAAAAATTGACAGCTGACTACAAGAACAGACAGATGGAAGCT